CCTCGCGCTGTTTTTCTTGAGGAGAGAGCAGCAGCAGCAGGAACACCAGCAGCAGGAACACCATTAGGACCAGCAGCAGCAGCAGCAGCTCCTGCTGCTGGTGCTGCTGTTGCTGCTGGTGATACTAATGGGTGTATGTCTTTAGTAAATGGATCTGCTGACAGCAGCAGCAGCAGCAGCAGCAGCAGCAACTTGCTGATGGACGAGCTGTGCATGATTGCATGCATCTGCTGCAGCAACAGCAGCAGCAGGTGCAGCAGCCGGGGCAACGGGGCCACCCGCCGCAGCCACAAGAGCAGCAGCAGCAGCAGCAGCAGCAGGAACAGCAGCAGCAACAGACGTGCCTCTGACCAGGCAGTGTTGGTGGTCCCTGGGGACAGTGACGGCACATGGCTGCTGCAGCACAGCAGCAGCAACAGCAGCAGCAGCAGCAGCAGCAGCAACAGACACGCTAGATGTAGGTGTGGAGTTGCTGCAGCAATACCAAGAGCTACTGCTGCTGCTGCTGCTCCTCTCCCTCCTTCCCAGTGGCCGCAGCGGCCGCTGCTGCTGCGGGCTATCGCTGAGCCATGGATGCTGCAGCAGCTGCAGCAGCAGCAGAAGCAACAGCAGCAGCAGCAGCAAAACGGGGAGACAGGCAAAAAACATGTAATGATCATACCTGAGGTCGTATTAGGGTTTAGGGGTTAGGGTTTAGGGTTTAGGGTTTAGGGCTAGAGCACTGAGCATTCACGGAACTATAGGACAAACCCTCGTACAGAACATCACCTTGCTGCTGCTGCTGCTGTTATTCCTGCTGCTGCTGCTGCTGTTGCTGCTGCTGCTGCTGCAGGCTAAGTACGAGAGTGTAAGGTTTCGTTTCCCTCCTCCTCCTCTCCAACTTCTCTCCGCCAATCAGCCAGTCGCCAATGGTAAGAAACCCTAAACCCTAAACCCTAAACCCTAAACCCTTGACAAGCTCAGTCTTAGCATCCAGCATACATGGCGTGTCATTAAGGGTCGAGGGTTTATTATTCAAGAATTAGGGTTTAGGGTTTAGGGTTTAGGGTTTGTGCCTTTTGTCTGTTCAGCTATACATTCCTTTGAGACCCCTTACTTCAAAGGATCGTAAGTTAACAACACTCTCTAGGGTTTAGGGTTTAGGGTTTAGGGTTTAGGGTTTAGTGTTTAGTGTTTAGGGTTTAGGGTTTAGGGTTTAGGGTTTAGGGTTTGAGTGTATATACAGGTTGCTGGTCTGCGCTGCTGGGGTTGGCGGTATGAAGGATTGTGGTTTAGGTGCCCCTAAGGCAACAATGAGGGTTTTTATTCAGGTACGAGGGTTTAGGGTTTAGGGTTTAGGGTTTAGAGGGTCTGTGCATATTATCATTATCAGCAAACCCTGCAACATATTAATATCGCATTCAAGCCTCATATCTCTGATTTATATTTCTAACATTTTCTAGGGTTTAGGGTTTAGGGTTTAGGGTTTAGGGTTTATTTTTTTCTATAGGGGCGCTTCCTTCATCCATGGAGACTAGGGGAGGTTTTATCCGGACAAGTGTTTAGTAAACCCTTGCAACATCTTCCTCCTCGATGGATTGTCTCCTTGGGTATTCAAGTTGTTAAAACTATCACAGAACTTATACAGGCAAGGGTTTAGGGTTTAGGGTTTAGGGTTTAGGGTTTAGGGTTTAGGGTTTTTGGTGGAGGTGGAAGGGTTTTGAGGCAATGAGGATAGACAACACGAATCGCGACAGTTTAGCAAGGGTAGGGTTTATTAGGGTTTATTAGGGTTTACCAGGGGTTTAGGTTTCAGGGTTTAGGGTTTAGGGTTTAGGGTTTAGGGTTTGGTGTGCAGGAGGACATTTGCTCGGAAGAAGAACCGTACTTTCTTTCTCCTCTTGTTTGCCTTGCAGACAAAATTAATGTTGTAGAGTAAGATATAAACCCTAAACCCTAGATGCCAAACCCTAAACCCTAAACCCTAGACGCCAGACCCTAAACCCTAAACCCTAATTATGGTCAAGAGTTGGGAGCATATGCCTACTGTCTCGGTGTAGGGTTAACTCTTAACGAACCTGAATGTACCCCACAAGGGTTTAGGGTTTACCTTTTAGGGTTTAGGGTTTACCTTTTAGGGTTTAGGGTTTAGGGTTTAGGGTTTATGTGTTATATATATATTCAGCCCTAAGATAAGATCTCCTCCTGCATTAGATGGATTAACAATAGAAGAAGATACATATTTATTATTTAATAATAATATAAATAATAATATAAATAATAATATAAATAATAATAATAATATAAATATAAATAATAATATAAATATAAATAATAAATTGTCTCCTTTTTTATCAATAAATAAAAGAAAAAAACAATTAATGAATATTTATTTTTTGTCTAATTTACGATTTAATTCACAATTCATTTATACCTTCGAATTCGCACAAGTAAGCAACAATTTTTTTTTTTTTTTTTTTTTTTTTTTTTTTTTTTTTTTTTTTTTTTTTTTTTTTTTTTT